GGGAAAGACTTTAAAACAAAACTTACAACAGTTACTTTTCTCAACAACTGAAATTTAGAATAGTGTGATTAAGAAAAATATGTGAACTGTTTGCAATTTCAAATTAATATTGAAATGTACAGGTTTAGAATTTTCTACAGTGAGAAGTTTTCGGAACTTCAGTATTCAAAAAAGTATACAAGAACTAGACGTTAAGAACGTCTCCAATGAGCGAGCAAAGCGAGCATTGGATTGCGAAGCAATCCGAAATGTACTGCGAAAGCAGTTCCGGGGGTTGGTGAGCGCCAGCAAGCAGGGGATGAAGCCTCCTAGTTAGTTCATATTCTCTTATACCAATATTCAATAAAAAAATTTAATAGAGTTAAAGCCTTCCTTGGAAAAACAGTGAATATTCTGTCTACCATTTTCATACAAAGGTCAATAATTTGATGTCAATCATAGTATATAATTAGTACATAATAAGTATATAATAAGTGTATAAGTATGATAATGTTTTATGTCAGTTGAATTTAATTGTGAAAATTAAATAATTGTGAAAATACAAAATTCTACTCTACAAGATTCATTAACTGCATTTTGCTGAAATAGTTATTAATCATATGATCCTTAAATTCCTCAGCACAAAAATTTTTAAATGAGTTTCTTTTTTATGAAATGATAATTTTTGAAACAAAGAATCCGTTGGGTTAGGTTATATGCCTGAACTATTTATGCAATTACTAGATGATACCTAAGTTTTGAATTTTGTAAGTTTCACTAGTATAATTAATTAAGGTGTTAGGCCGAATATTTAAAGTTCCGCATTTGTATTTGTAGTAAATGTGTTGTTCTGAAAGCACACAAACACATGAATACTAGCACAAAATGCTTAAAATCAGGACAAATAATAACAAAATATTTTTCATCAGAAAAATCAGGAATATCAGGACAACATGAACTCTGAAAGAGATTATAAATGTTTCACATTAATCTGGGGTAGCATTAAAAACAGTGGTTTAATTAATTTATCTCTCTCAAACTTTTGCTATCAAATGATTTTTGTCATATGAACTACTTTGTTTTGAAAGCAGAAAGCACTCTAAATAACATTGTGCTTAGAGATTTGAAAACAGGACTTTTTGTACTGATGTATCACTCATTGTAACTAAAAAGTTATTGTACTGCAGAGGGATAGTGACAGTAGAAAAAAAGGATAGACTATATATGATAAGAAGGTATAATAAAATTTTACATATTTTAAGTGTTTATAAATTAAACTTCACATTTAAATCTTCTTTTTATATAGATATAATAAGAAGATTAGATGTAAGATAAAGAAACAATTTAAATAAACAGAAGGATCAAATTTAATCTTAATGCAAAAAGACCTTATATTAAACTAGGTTATTATTTTAATACACAATATAAAAGAAATGGTTCCTCAGATTGAATTAAGCATGTAGTTAGATGTTTATAAAGCCAATGGGTTAAGAACATGTGCAAACTTAACTAGATTTTTCTTCCACGTGGCCAATAGGGCCATTCACGCTGCTGAATTTTTTGTAGGAAAATATATTTCACTAATTAGGTGCTTATTCTCATGACAAATATAGAAAAAATGAACTTTTTTAGTGCAGTGTAATGGTTGCGAAGATTTTTGTACATATGTCAATAAGGGTCCTGATTACCCTGAAATAAATGTCATGCTTATTCGAGTACTAAATTAGATATCTTGCACAGAATTTTGAAACAGAAAAATAAAATCTAGAAGACTAATTAAAAAGAGATAAACACTTTTCTTTCTCAACCTTAGGCTGAGGGCTAGCTGTTTTTGCTTTCCTCGGTGAAATAGATATCCCACAATTACAAATTGATAATTTGTAAGCTACAAATCGTTTGCGGTCGCCCCCTTTTACATGGTGGACGCTAGAGGAAGGGGGGTTTCAACTGCGAGAGGACCACTCGTCTGGTCAGCAGATGGGGGAGATAAGAAGTGATAGATTTAAATGACCCCGTCCGAGGAGTCTGTCGAGGCACACGTAGGCACAAGCCATTTTACATGCAGAAAGGTAGACCCCCTGGCCGGCTGTGGTCAATGGCACGTGGCATCCATGTCTAATTGGTTGATATCCATGTCTAATGAGGGAGGGCTTTCCTTCAACTTTGCGAGGTTGCTCTCTCCGTTAGAGATGTTTCTCAGATCGTCGATACTTATATTCTTCTTTATTTCAGTGGAGAGCATCAGTGATTGTATGATAAATGAGTGAAGGAATATTAAAATAAAGTCAAATTAATTCACTCTTCACATGATATGAAAAAGATATTCAATCATTATCATATGCAACTTTTTCTATCGTTATATAAATCATTTTAATGATTTTTTTACAGTGCTCTGTTTTAATTCTGAATCCTTTCTTTTCTTTGATGGAAAAAAAACTACTTTTGGACATTACAGAAGCTTAAAAAACCTTTCAAAAGTAAATAGTTTTCAATCAAAACTCTGAAATTGAATTGATTATTGGTTTGGTAATGCTGTAGAAATCAAATTCAGAACTTCCAGAACATTTATTTTTAATGGATGTATTCGAAAATTGAAGCTTGCTGGAAAAAAGTCCACATACAAATTTTACAATTTAAGCTCCCATACTTTCTTCAACCATACTTAATTTCCCCTACTTTGCCCATCTCATCACCCTTCGGATTTTGACAAAAGGGGGGATTCTCTTCTCACAGACAATAAGATAGAATAGAAAGAATGTCAGAAAAGTTCAAAACAGCCAATAAACATGGCTCTTTCTTTATTTATTTTAATAAAAAAGGTCAAAGAAAAAGATAACTAAAAAAAATTTGTGCAAGTTTTGTAGTGGAAAAATGATTTTGATCTATAAAAAAACATATAGAGCTGAAATTTCTCAAAAAGTGTAAACATAAAACAATCCAAGACAATTTAACATTATTTATACAGACAATTTTTACAGACCAGCTGAAAATTACAAAAGATACAAGATAACATATGAAAGGAACTATGTAAAACCAGGGTACCACTGTGTTTATAAATACAAAAGTGCAATTTAAGGGTCATGAGTGCTACTTAAATGAATTAATTGCTCAAAAGTGCAATTTAATTCATTTAAGTGGGTAAAATATTGAAAATTCACCCCTCTTCTTACTCAAAAAATGGCCTAAAAAATCAAATTATTACTTGGCAATAAGCTAAATAATTTATTTTTATGAATTAATCTCAATCAAAAAATATTTTAACATAGCATTACTAAAGAAATGGCCCCATAAAAAAATTAAGCTATTACCTTGAATATCCAAACAATTTAATTTTTTGGGATCTTTATTAGAGTTTTATTGCAGACTTCTAAAAAAGAAACATACAAATTTTTTGCTTTAAACTAAAAATAAGCAACAGATAAAAAAATTATATAAAATAAAGAAAAACCACTATTGAACTATATATTTGATAGAATCATAGAAAATGTATAACACTAGCCGCCTGCAGCGACCTTAAATCTTACATGGCTGTTCCAGGAATCCTTCTTATTCCAATCAGTATCTGAATCATCTTCTGACAACTCAGAGTACTCATCTTCATGAAGAAGCAAATTGTCTCGTGATGGATTGCTACCTTCTCCCAGCCTGGTACGAATTAAAGAAAATTTTCCATTTGAACAGAAAAGAGCTACATTGCAATCATTAAAGCTAAATTATTTTGTGAATTCAGTATAAAACTGAAATTTAGTTTAAACTTTAATAAAAGTGAGAATTAGGAATGAAAATATTTATCTAATTTAGAAAAGCTAATAAAAATTATTATACCTTGTGAAGCGCTAATGAATTTTAAAAATATAGAGAAGACATAGTTTAATAAATTTAGCATGTCACAACTGAAGAAATTTTGAAAAGAGATAATGGTTGATTCAAACTGAATGGTTTTTCTAGTTTGCTAAGCTTTTTTGCTAACCATACAAGACTCTTATATGCTTAAAAAAATAAAATGACAACAGTGAAGTGGAGTAAATTAAAAGTAATACAATCTGATATAAGGTGAGAAATGAGTGTCATTTGTTATAAATAGAAGCTCTATTAAATGGATTATATTGTAGCAGTTAGCTTCACGTCTTGCTCGTCTCATGTTAGAAAATTTAAAAATAATCCATATTTCGTCCTCTTAAGAGGGAAATAGTCCTAAGGACACAAAAAGAGCCTTTTCTAGAAAATATTTTCCTAAATAAATTTTATTTTTATTTTTGTGGATAAAGTTAGTTTTAAAATTAAAAAGGTAAAGTGGCTCACAAAAATAATATATAGATATATATAAAAATCAATTACATTGCAAGTGAAATAATATCTATAATAATGTAATTATTGAAAAAAAATAATGCATATGCATAATAACTTACAGTGAAACTTCTCCTAAAGGTCACCTCTACTTAAGGGCCACCTCTATTAAGGGCCAATATTTCGAGGAACGAAAATTTTCCCCATAGACGTAATGTTAATTTTCCTCCCATTAGAGGGCCACATTTTTCTGGCTACCTCCAATAAAGGCCATTTTTTTTTAAAAAACAATTTCTCAAAAAAGCCATTTTTTTACATTTTTCTTCTCATAAAGGCCATAAATCTAAACATTCCTTAACTAAAAGATAAGAGTTCAGGAATTCCAATATAAAAATTTTTTTTTCGAGGAACGAAAATTTCCCCCATAGACGTAATGTTAATTTTCCTCCCATTAGAGGGCCACATTTTTCTGGCTACCTCCAATAAAGGCCATTTTTTTTAAAAAACAATTTCTCAAAAAAGTCATTTTTTTACATTTTTCTTCTCATAAAGGCCATAAATCTAAACATTCCTTAACTAAAAGATAAGAGCTCAGGAATTCCAAACGCCTGCACTTTCAAGAAGGAAGGGGGGGGGGAGGATTTAACACAATGAAGACTCAGAAGCTTTTCCATAAGTGAGAAAACAGGTGTTCATCACACTCTGTTTGACCTTTCAACTTCTTTTATGCTGAAAAATTTTGAGCATTGGGGGAGGAACTTGACCTTTTGTTGTGGGTGCACAAAGGATAACAGGTTTAAGCCTTTGTACTCTTTTGATAGTAAGAAACTAGAGTCCTCATTTACTATAAGTGTGAAGGCATATTGAAGCACAGTTTTTTACACTGGAAATTTTATGCTCTGGCACAAGTAAAATTAAAAATCATGGCACCTAAACCAAGTAAAATATTACATTCGGATTTGAGTGACAAAATCAAAGTTCTTAATTATCATGATCAAGGAACATCTGCAAGAAAATTGGCTTCACAGTTTACTTGCAGCAAGAATCAAATAAACAATGTTGTTAAAAACAAAGAGAGCTTACTGAAAGAATATGAAGATTTTAAAAATCGTGGGATAAAGAGAAAGAGAAATGAAAAGTTCTGTGATATAAATGAAGCTGTAATTCAGTGGTTCAGATGTGCTAGGACTAAAAACGTCCCACTAAGTGGTACTTTAGTGAAAGAAAAAGCCATTCAGATTGCAGAATCACTTGGTGTAGAAAACTTTTGTGCAAGCAACGGATGGTTAAATAAGTTTTGTAATAGAAACAAAATTGTTTTTAAAACATTATGCGGTGAATCAGCTAATGTTGATAAAGATTTGTGTCAAGACTGGAAATCAAAGCTTCCAATCATTCTGGCAGGCTATGAAGATCGTGATGTTTATAACTTAGATGAGACAGGACTTTCTTTCCGTGCCTTACCTACCAAAAGTTCAGTTGAGAAAGCAGAAGAGGCCAAAGGAGGAAAACAAGCCAAACAGAGGCTCACTGTGTGTTTTTGTGCTAATGTTGCTGGTGAAAAGGAAAAGCCCATCGTCATTTGGCACTCCAAGAAACCTCGTTGTTTTAAAGGTAAAGATTTATCACAAATGGGAGTAAAATATCATCATAATAAGAAGGCATGGATGACCATGGAAATATTTAAAGATTGGTTGATTAGTTTTGACAATAAAATTACAAATCAAGGCAGAAAAGTGGTTCTTTTTTTGGATAATGCACCATGTCACTCATTTTACGAAAACTTGAAAAGTGTAAAGCTTCAATTCTTGCCTCCAAATACTACGTCTGAAATTCAACCTCTAGACCAAGGAGTTATACGCTGCTTTAAATTAGAATACCGACGTTTTGTTTTGCGAAGACTCCTTTCTATTATAGATTGCGATAAAAATTCATCACAAATCATTCAATCTATAACAGTATTAGATGCCATTCGGTGGATTAGACACGCCTGGGAAAATGTAAAAGGACAGACAATTGTAAATTGCTTTAAAAAATGCGAGCTAAGCAATACAGCTTTAGAGGCCACTATCGATGCAGCTGATTTAGAAAATGAAGTGGTTGAACTTTCAAAAGCTGCTGCAATTCAATATGACCCAAATTCAGATAAATATGAAAATGGGCTAGAATGTTACGATGATTTATCGGAAGATTGGGAGAAAAGATTTATAGATGATTTAGATACAGGTAAAACATTAATATTTATTGTTCTAAGTTTTAAAAAAATACAATAATTTTTTTAAACTTATTTGTTCAATTTTTTCAGGAGTTCAGTCTGATTCAGATAATGAGAATGAGTCCCCCGTGCCATATTTATCAAACCAAGAAACGCTAATAGAAGTAAATAAACTGATATCCCAATCCAAGTCATTAATAAATGATGCGAATTTAACTAATTTGTTTTATAGAGTTAAGGAATCATTAGAAACTAAAATTGTTTGCGAAAAAATTGTAAAAAGTTAACAAACTTCAATTGAAAAATTTTTTAAACATGTATAAAAACTTAAAATGTTAATAAACAGTTTTTTTCTACATAAATTTTGATTTCCTCATTTTATTTCTTGGTCACCCCCATTTAAGGGCCATCCCCCATAAGGGCCAATTTTCAATGGAGCGACAGGTGGCCCTTACCAAGAGGTTTCACTGGTATTATGATAGACTTATTTTAATCGAACCTCATGAATTAATCAACTGCTATGAGCAATTTTCCCTGATAATATAAAGCAGAACAATCAGGGATGCAGCTGAAAATTCTTACCAGAATTCTTAAAAACCAACTAAAATTGTCCATGGTTTCAAGATAACCCAAATTTTATTATTTGAAACTCATGAATAAATCAACTGCTAAGAACAATTTATTAATGACAATCATGTAACTAGAGAATCTGGAATTTTTAGACTATAAAAAGGAGCTTGAATATACTTTGTAGCATTAAAACTAAATAAAACAACCTATGATTAATATTTACATCTCAGAATTATTTTCACAAATCTGATAGTAATTTAATAATTAATATTTATAGACTAGAGTAAATAAATTAAAATTATCAATTATAATTTTAAACTTTAATGAAAATATGAAATCATTTGTTTTTTAATAATCTCAGTTAGCTAAATACACCAGTCTTTTTTTTTTTTTAATTTTTTTATAACTGTTACTAAATTTTCCATACTTCATTTTGATACAATTTTGCTATCAAACAATAGCCTTTCAATATCATAATATGATGCTTATCTATCCATTTTAGATTACACAAAAATTCCTCTGAATGCAATAGTAAGTGAATTCTGAATTCAACTGTTGCACAGTGGGACAAAATCAGAAAAATGCGGCCAAAATTAGAAACTTAACTTCAATGTTCTAAAAATTGATCACCTATAGGTTTTTTGGGTAGCTGATTTCTTCAAACATGAAGTCAAAATTTCAAAAAAACAAAATGGCGGATCCAAAATGGCGGATGATTATTGAAAAAATTGCAAATAAATAAAAATTATTTACTAGTAGCTTTTGAGATCTTTGATTACAAATTAACAATTTGATTCAAGAATTTTAAACAATTTGATTCAAGACAATTAGACTGTACTGCACATCCATTTGCTGATTGCAATACTTTTTCGGCAGTTGCAACAGTAGATTATTGAATCCGAAATAATTATTTTTATCTTTATAGCAGAATATCATGATTTTAGTAGGGGTGAAGCTAGACTATTTTCACTGAAATGTATCCTACTTCTAAGATATTTGACTTTTTACAGCAGCAACAATTCAAAATCATATTTAAATATCAATTTTGAAAAAACACATTATTAAATTTTAAGATAAAGAGGACGAGAACAAGTTATACCAAAAAATATTTGAAAGGAAACTATGTATCAATATGCAAACAGAATAAAATTATTACTGTAACAAATTAATAAAAAGAAGCGTCTTGATAAAAGCATATTTTTTTTAGCATAACATGCATTTAAACACTAAATGAAGAGTTAAAAATATCATATGAAGTAAAAAAAAAATATATACCACAGAAAAATAATTAAAAAAATTTATTAGTATGAAACTATTATTACGAATGCAAACAAAGGATACATTGGCTTAAATGCTCGCTTTCTTCGTGAAAAAATACTAGCCAGTTGGGCAAATTTTCTTCTTGACACTATAAAAATATATATAGTTAACAAATGTCTCATTAGACACTAAAGATGAATCAAGTAAAATACTATAGCACAGTTTTGAAAAAATTATTAATGAATTTAATTGGAAAAAAAAACACAAAACAGATTTTATTACCATTAAAAAATATATATAAATAAATAAATAAAAACCTAAAGAAAGAAAGAAGACTGATTATTTAAACTAATCATCAGAAAGGGAAAAAATAAAATTAGGAAACACAGATAATTTAAAAACTATTTATTTGGAAGTAGAATAATTTAAATTTGGCTAAAATTTAAAATATTTAAATGCAACAAATGATAACAAAATACATATTTATCATAATGACTTATGTTTCTTGCCATGTACTGTTTGAATTCTAAATTTATAATCATTTAGTAGTTCAACAATATATTTATTTTTTATTTTTGAACTTCTAAACAATTTTAAACTTTCTCTTGATTGAGAGCATATTTTATCAGCACTTCACAAATAATGTTCCTCCCCAAGAGCTTGTACAAAAAAAATATTCTGCAGTAAAGGCATATTTGAATGGAAAAAGCAAAATAAAACATTTCATGTAAACAAAACATTTGCCATAAAAAAAAGGAAAGCATAATAATGAAATGCTTATCTTATTTATCACAGTATTAATTATGAAACAGAAAAAGAAATTTTTATTTATCTTATAAAGAATTATATATTTAATTAAATGCATTAATGTAAAGAAACAAAATAAATTAACAGTTACAATAACCCAAAAACAATAGTTTCTGCCTTATTAAAATAATTTACTTACTTTTCCCCATATTTTTTAATCGTTCTCTGAATGCTGCATCATTTTCATCAGGAGTTAGGACAACAGGCAAATCAGAATGACCCTCCAACTTTGGGATATTTGCTGTGGCATTTTTCTCACATTCTTTAGAAGCTGAAAACAAAATCATTAATAAAAGACTTCAGTTTCATAACAGTTTCAGTATTATTTAAAATAGTCAAATGAAATTGGTAAAAGTAGTAGTTAAATTGCTTATTATAGTTAGCTAACTTACAATTATAAAACAAAGAATAATTTCAAACTAAAACTTGAAAAATCTAGTAGGAATGAAAAAGTAAAAGAAATAAATATTCTGTTAAAATATCAGAACAAAACTTTAAAAAATCAGCATTTATACAGCAAGAGAAAAAAATGAATACATTTATGTATTTATTTAATCACACTACATCTTTTAGAGCTGTAATGGCTCAGTGGTTAAAGGCACTGAGATGTCATAACAGTTATGGATTCAATAATCAAAGGTTGCGTTGAAACCATGATTGAAAATGATTACCTTCTTTATTATACCTACTTTCTAGATTAAATAACACTAAAAAAAGTAAAATTATCTTATAAATTTTATGAAATTGATCAAGTAGCTAAGAATTTCTTGTGAATAAAGTTTTACTATTTCAAATTCAATATTGAAGATAATCATAAAGAAAAAATTGGAAAATTTAGCCAAGACTATTTTATTGCAATTACTGTTACATTACACCAATTACAAGAAACAAATATATAAACTTTGTCTAAACATCAACATTAAGTGATTATTATTAAATCTAATATATTTGTTAGTAAACAGAGTTGTACTAATTATTTTAAAACTGAAAGGACATAAATTCCAATGTAGTAAATTAACCCTAAGAACAACAGTCTTAGCTTTTTTAACATTAAAAAAAAATTTTCTTCTATGCTTTGTTCCTCATGAAAAAAAAAAAAAAATCTTATGTTATTTAACAGGATTGCACAGCAAGAAAATTTCAGTACAGCTTTGCCCAGTTTAGGTAGAAACAGAAAAGTTTAAATCATTTAAAAATTAGTACTGATTCAAGCCAAAACAATTATAATTAATGTAAACAACTTTTAGCAACATTTTCAACTGAAGAAAAGATAAAAAGGTACTAGTTATTATAAAAAAGGAACTACAAATTTATTCCAGAAGTTGTGACTTACCATTTGGCTGCCCTGCCTGAAAAGTTGGCAATTCATCAGGTCTAGAATCTGCAAAAGTTTAAATTGTCATTTAGAACATAAATAAATACACTAATTAGACAAAAATGTAGAAAAAACAATACCCTTTTCCAAAGTAGTTAAAAAATCTTGATTAGCCATTAACTCTCTAACAAATTCCTCATTTTGAAGAAAAAGAGCAACTCTCTCATCTTCTAAATACTGAGCAACTTCAGGATCTGATGATCCAATAGTGTTTCTTCTTGATTCATTTTCTTGAATACGTTTTTGAATCATGGCAGTGCTCAAGACAGTCACATACTAATCAAATGAAACATTCCAAATTTAAAACAATGTCTGTTACTCAGCAAAACAATATTAAATATCAAAATTTCATTTTGATAATTAATATTATTGTTAATTTAACAATATTAAGCATCAAAATTTAATTTCAGTCAAAAAATCTCTGAAGTCATACTGTACACTTAGAATACAGTAAAGAACTTCCATAATAGAGTCTAACGTTATCTGCTAGATAAACAAGAACAAACACATTTTAGAGAGGGGATCTTTTGATACTTATCTGGCCTAAAACTGCTAGAACTTGTTTTAAGCATTTAATTTATACCCCACATTGAAATAGTTAAACATTGTAACTATAATCCCAGACGGTGCTAACAATTGGCAAATGGAGATAGATCAGATAGACTACAGATATTAAATATACAGATGAATAAAAAATTTTAAATATACTGTCTAAGAAAACTTTTTAGTTTTTTACATTTGGAAATAAAAACATAACTCCATGAAAATACAATCTAAAATTTTGTATTGATAATTGGGATTTCTGCCAAACACCTATTTAAAAGAAAACTAAGTATTAATTATGAAAATTTAGAAAGTCATCAAAATGTGAAAATATGTTTATTCTATATTGTATTAATGATTTAACAATAGGATGTAAGTTTGCAGTTGATGTCAGCGTATGCACGAGAAATTGATAATTTAGCGAACGCTTTAAATTTACAAGGACTCGGATATGATTGGATTTTAAGAGCAATGAAATATTAAAATGAACAAAAATATGTAATAATATACTTATTTGATATCATGTAATATATATTCTTATATATTTTCTCCCACCAACAAACTATGCAAAGTTTTCCATTAATGATGACTGAACATCACTACAAAGTATTCTTAGAATGTTAAATAAATATATTGATACATAAAATATGGAGGTATATGTTGTATTAATTAAGCTTGTTTCAATTTCAGCCCAGCTTTGATGTAGAAAACCTTTTAAATTGACATGATTATAAACATGATTTGTTAAATTATTCGATTACATTTTTTGTTTGTTTTTGTGCATGATTTAATATGGATTTATACATTATGGATACAAGTTATTGTGTTACAATATTTGATCCTCCGTTACCACATTTTTGTTCTTCTGCTACATTTTTTGTCTTTCCGTTACCATAAAAAAATAACTAAAATAAATACAGAATAAAATTTTAACTGTTTCTCATTTATAAGTGAAGAAATTCTGTTTTGTACAAAAAATAATTATTACTAAAACTGATAAGTTTTAAGTGAGGTATTTGAGATGTAGTATTCTAATAATGGAAGGATATTTAAAGAGTCTCCTTATTATAGACCTGTTCATGATTACAAAATACATCTTTCTTAAATTTCTTAAAGAAAATTTCGTTACATAAAAATTAACCTACCCATTATATTGTGAGAAATTAATTCATTCAAATGACATACTGATGCAACAAAATAGAGATTTACATACTGATTTGCATACTACATTGTTGCATACTGATGCAACAAAATAGAGATTTTCAGCATTGTACAATTATGAAAAGTAAATATGATTTGGTTCATGATTTTCTGAAAATCAATAAGATAATTGCCAAAAACATGTTAATATTCAAGGAATTTTTATAAGGTTGTCCTATTTGATAAATCTTTTATCGCTCTATTTCCAATAGGTCGCAACTTGTTGAATGCTGTTATGAATTATTTGAATACAATTCCACATTAGAGTTTCTACTAATGTTACTGTTTTACGATAAATCCATTTCAATATAATTAAAATATTATTAAAAAAAAGTTTTATCTTCGTTAAATTCTCATTGATCAAAATTTGGTACATTTAAAAAAAATTGAAACAAAGGCATGTAACAAACATTCATTTATTGTGCTTCAACTTTCATATAACATAAATTGTAAAATAATATGAGATAGATACCTATGAAAATTAATATAAAAATACATTATTCAATACTTAATCAAAACTAAGTACTACTTACTTTTCCCTTCCTATGAGTATGTGTTTGATCTTCCAGACGCAAGAAAGATGATGGAAGAGGTCCAACTAGCGGAGGATTCCATTTTCTTCTTTGAGGAGACTCAGTTTCTGACTTCTTCTCATTGTCTTCACTTTTTTGAGATGCCACTAGCTTGGGCACCACTAATGGAAGTTGTTGTTGATGTGGTGAAGGAGATAGCTTTTGATTGTGATACTGAGCATGCCGAATTAAAGATGGAGATGCACTCGTTTTGCGGCCTAGTTGAACGGTAGCTAGACGCCCAGGACTATGAGCATAAGGAACAGCTTGATGATAAGATGGTGGAGGTGTAGCTGGAGAATAACTAGGTGGAAGCTCGTCATTCTCGGTTGCATCTAACTCGGCTCGAAGTTTCTCATTTTCATTGTCAGTGGACATGGATAGTAGCTGATCAATAGTGGCATCTACAGCACCATTATTTGCTCTCAAAACAACTTCAATAACATCTTCATCCATTTCTGGAAACATTACTTTGAAATCTGCCATAGCTTGGTGAAATTCAAGCTGCGTAACAGGCTGTTTTTGCCTGCTGTTTTGCTTTGCGGGCTGCAGTTGAGGTTGATGACCAACAGCCGCCATTATAATGAACTTGTTTTATGTCAAACAATATAGAATATCTATAAATAAATATAATAAGCTTTAAAGAGCAAAGAAATTCTTTTTAAAAATTTCTGCTCATACATTGAAAATTTATTATTATTTAAAAACTTATAGAAAAATACAACACATCTCTTGCGTAAAAGTATGACAAATTATTTTAAGAATTTAATTATCAAATTACCAAAATTTTTTAATTTATAATCAAGTATTGCAAATAAATTTAAATACTATAAAAGAAAAACATTATAGTAAACTTTTTAAAAGGAACATAATATAGTAATTCTAAACATATTTTCTTCAGGTAAATCATTGTTAATAAACGCATATATGTTACCTTAACACATAATTTTGCTTGCTTTAAATTAAATATAGGGAAATAAAAACTAAATTCTTTATTATTCTACCTATAACATTATTCTATAAGTTTAAAACTAAATTGAAAATAGTAAAAACAAAATGCATGCTCACAAATGTGCAACTTCTTGGAGACAAAATCTGAAACAAAATATTAATCCAAAATTTTTTTCAAATGATTTAGATTGTGTGAAAAATGTTTAAAATAAAAAGTTTTTTTGGTTTTTTAATTTACTACTTATGTTTAAAGAACTTTCTGAAACATCAAAATTGATAAATTAAAAAAAACATCTATGAAAATAGTTTGATAGCAAAATGAAAATAAATAAACTCAACATTTTAAAGAAAGAAATTTACTCAACAGGCTTAAACTATTGATTGCCACTGACGAGTTAGCAAGTTGAAATTTTCAGCTTTGCCCTATGGTGATTAGTTGTTAAAAATACTAACAACATTCCTTTCTGATTTGTAATATGAATACAAAAGGAAGAGAAAGTTTGCCTCTTTTTACCACAAGAAAGAATAAAATAAGTGGCTAAGCATTTATTGAACTGTTTATAAAACAAGAAAAAATGCTTGCAATCCGATTTCTTTTTTTAAATAGCTTTATAAATTTAGCTAATTAGCAAAAATTAGCTTATCATATCTTAAAAGATGATCTCATTTTATTTTTGACCCTGATAATGCAAATTTAATAGTAAAAAGTAAGGCACACTAGCAAAGGTTTTGAACAATCTATGTTAACGGTTAAAATAAGAGTTTTTGAAGTGAGAAAAATTTACTTTGTCTCTCACTACATAAACATTTTTTTTATTTGTCTGTATATTTTATTATTATTCTTATTAAAAGATCAAAATTTCTAGTGAATCTTTAGCAAATTGAAGACTATCGTTTCTTCTGACAAATTATCAACCATATGTTAATGATTTTATTTCTAGTATCAATCAAAAAACATGTTGATTTATTCTTTAAAAAAATACAGCAACAAAGAGAGGAGTCAAAATCTAATATTCTTCACTAAGACTTTTGATAATTAGGACTGCATTGCTTTGAAAATAAATGAACAACTCTCACTTAATATAAAACTATAACTATTATAATTATAACTATTTTCATACCTAATTTAAAAATAAATTATTAACTGCATAAAACATGACTGCAAGAAAGTGGAAATAAATAGTTCTGCTTTAACAATAACTTATCCTGAAGTGATTCGGATTGTTCTACATTGTTTGTCACAGTTTTGAACACTTTCTGCTTTGGGTGATACAAAAATAAATAAAACTATTACAATCTTTAAAGACTTAAAAATGTTACAAGAACATTTATAGCTAGGAAACTATTTATTATAATAAGGTTCAGTAATTTGGGGTAAAATTTGAACATTAACCTTATTAAACTGAAATATATTTGCACTGGTTTATAAGTTTCATCATTGTTGTTGTCCCTCCAGAAAATGCACCCAGTAGCGTTAAAACACATCCATTTGTTTGACTAATTGATTTGTGATATTGAAACATTATTTTATTTATTTTTTTGAATTAATATTATCACAAAGGATGCATTGTTTACATTCATAACAATTGATATATTTAACTCATTCATTGTTAAATATCATATAGACCGCAAGGAAATATTGGATGTGGCAACTCCATTAAAATAAAAAAACTAAAAATTATTACACACAACAAAGCCATATACACACGAACAAAAAACGCAACACATAATTTTGAAATTGAAGTGCTTCGGTAAAGTACGTAAGTGTAAATTTAGGTATAATAATTTGGCAAATTTTAGTACCATAATACCAAATTAAACCAATAGTTTAACTTCGGAACTAAATAAATATTTAAGATACACTGAATAAAAAGATTAATTATTATTTTAAGGGGTAATTTGTGTTGGTTAAGACAGTAATTTAAAACATTACCGGCACTAATGTTAAAAATAAAAAATTCAATACAAAATACCGTGACTATTTTATTTTGAAAAGAAATATTACACCATAATATTCAGTTTTAAAACATATAAAAACAATCTTACTCAATTCAGTAGGTAAGCGGATTTAGTTGAAATCGATCTGTCATTTTTCCCTAAACACACCAACAAAAGCAAAATAAATAAGCAGACAGAAAACTCCAATTTATCGACGATACATCGGTAAAAAATCAAAAGAGTGCAAATACTTCAAAAACAATGCTAACTCAGAAGTTATATGGTCTTAAACTGATTAATCGAGTTAAACTGATTGAACAGAAATTAACTTCTCGTTTCTGTAAATTGCAGGTACAGTTAAAAAGTTAAAGAAAATTTCAGGCTTGATTATTTGATAGCCGCACAAATTTACGCAATGCTCGAATACGCCATCTGGAGAGAAGACCGGTTCCATGCCTTTCACTCTGGACTCCATGCTCTATCCCTTCCCCTTTTCCTCCCCCTCTCTTTTCAGTTCTATAGGAATGTACATGGAGTCATGGAGCTTTAAGATGCATTTGAATGAATTACAATATTTTTCTTTTTCTTAATATTTTTCATTATTAAAAATATTTTTTGAAACTTCCATGCCGTTTTCTTTTAGAACACATGCTTAGTGCAGTGTTCAATATTTTAATCCAGGTGGAAATCAAGATCGAAATTATTGCACTTCCATCTTCTATGGCTCTCCACATACTAATGCTGAAAGCATGCGAAGTGTTGCCATAGGTAGAGAGTTCTACTCTACGCCATCTGTAGCCCATTTCGGTAGCCAATAGCTGTAAGAGGGGTATAATTTTTTTTTTCACTGCGGTGCAGGAAAAATCCTGCTGTGTCATTTCAGCTTATACTCTGTTAAAATGACCTCATTAATTCAAAAATAACTCCGATATTTTCTCACCACCCATTAAGTATCTCCCATTTTTCTTTCATATTTACTATTAGTTCACTCCAATATTTATCACTTAGCGATATTTTTATATATTTTTATAGCCTATAATTCAATTTGGAGAGAGAGCGTAATTATTTTAATCGATAAATATCTTATGAAAAGGCCAGCGAGTTGAAATCTATTAAAACCTAAACAATTATAACTGTTACATTTTACGAACGTGACAACTTTATAACATGAGAGGCGAAATTCATGAGTTAAATACAATGCAAATTAATACTCAGATCTTAATCATCAACAGACCACAACAATCTTTTATTCCAAAAATTTTATTATACTGCTCTCAGATATAGTTGGCTATTTATTCAGTCAATAATCATAACAAGCGCGGTTAATCATATCGATTCTCAACACCCTCCTTTTGAATTGATTTCAGTCAAGACGAAACTTTGTAAAATAATCAAATTAGACCGAAAGAGTAAAATGCATGTGAGAATAAAAACCTTAAAGTGATGATTACAATAATTAGCATGAGAAATTACTTTTACAGAATATTGGAGAGTAATATACTTAAATTTAAAGTCTCTAAGGTAAAGTCGATAATATTTGATAGTCAAATGCCTAGTCTCAGTGGCATCTTTACTTTGCGATCTCTTCGGGTGCACTTCCCAAGACAAATTTTATGATGGTTTTTCTTTGATGGACCAACATGAATATGATGGTAGCCATCATGAATTTCCATCAAAAACCATCATATTTTATGATGGTACCAACAAGACTGACCATCACCTCATATTAGGAATTGGAACAAATTTATGTTGGACCAACATGAACAAAACCACCATGGTATGATGGTATTTTCCGATAGTCCAACAAATAAATCCATCAAGAACCAACATGGTTTGATGGTAGTTTTTGATAGCCCAACCTAAAAATTAATCAGGAACCAACATATGTTGTTGGTCTCAACTTATATTCCATCTTAATTCCTGATGGTACCAACAAGACTGACCATCACCTCATATTAGGAATTGGAACAAATTTATGTTGGGCCAACATAGACAAAACCAACATAGTTTGATGGTGTTTTTCAATGGTCCAACAAAAAATCCATTAAGAACCAACATAGTTTGATGG